GCTTCCTTTTTGACAATAATACAACAGTTATTTCTCCCTCGATCCTCCACCCATGGGTATGGTCATTAACAATGATAATTATTTCGATTTAACCCGCATTCTTCTTTAGGATTCACTAAAACCGATGTATTCGACCATTTGTCATTTTTTTAATAGACAAACTCGTGTTTATAAGGACTGAAGAGTCTGTCGGAATAAATTATTTAGATAGGAATGGAAAAATTGTAGAATAATTGAGTCGGATGAGATAAGATTGAGAGCTTGGAATGACGAAAATGTGGTTCACTATAAAAGTTCAAAGTAACAAATTTTAAAAATATGTACTGTATGTTCGAAGAAAAACAAATTTCCAAACGAATTGATGGCAATGAGGACAAGAGATTTCATTAACTTGTAAAAAAATATAGTGTCTACGTATGCAGATGCGATAGTACATGTAAAGTAAAATGTAATGATAAACTAATTTGTAAAAAAACAATCAACAAAAAGAATATTGAAAAAAATACAAAGGATGTGCGAGTATGTATACATGTATATATGTGTGCATATGGTATGTGCATGCATGTACATATGCATAATCATTATGTATTATCTTTTTCTTCCGATGACCTATGATTACTGATCTGAGGTTCGCGAATAAATATATTTCCTTGTTTTAAAAATAGGGGTGTTTATTCAATTTATTTTATTATTTATAGTATTTATTTATTCCATCATATGTATACCCTCTCGGGCCTTCACATTTTGTTCCCATCCCTACAATGAAACCCCGACATAGAATATTGATAGTTATAAGAAACAAAATACATGAATGCCATATGGGCGAGTATAATCTGCAGTAAGTTGCTCCAGTCAACGGCCTTTTTCCTGCACTAGATCCAGGGACTTGCAAAAAGTCGGTTGAACCGTAGACCCGCGCAGCCATCACCATCGCCATCAGTATGGTTGTCAGAAAGTACACCACGGCCGCACCGTTTCCAGAACGATTCCATGTTTCCATTCCCTTTCCATTTTCCAACGCCATGGCCTCAGATCGAGAGGACTACTCCTAGGCCGCACCATTCCAAAGGACGACTCCAAGTTTCGTCATCCCCTCTCATCATCCTTTCCTTGGTTGAAGGAGACCAATATCATCAACTATCATTATATTTTACTGAAAAGAATTATTATTTCAAATAATTGATTTTCCAGTTTTATAATTATTACACTTTATTATTATTGTTATCATTATTATTCTTATTATTACAGGTATATATATATATATATATATATATATATATATATATATA